CACGCAAGACTTCTGAATAATTCTACAGACAAAAATCAACTAGGAAAACTGTACTGGGTCCAGCAAATCTCCATTTCACTTGTGAATTTCGCGAATGTCTGTCATTATAATCTTGCTCAGAAAAAATTCTAGTTCCGGTAAGATATGAATTCAGAAGACTCACGAAACGAGTTGTTAGAGTTATTTCAGGAGTGAAAAATATTTCTGAGTTTATTGAACTGTATTGAAACCAATCATAACATAATAATAAGTAGGATCAACGTGGACGAATTCAAATGAGAAAAAAGTTGACAAAACCACAAGGTCACTGTATTGTTTGAAATGAGTTTCATGACGATATGACAGAACCATATTTGTAGAAATTATTTTACTTCTTTTCTATCTGAGTTTTTCAACGTTGAGTTTTCCTACATTGCCTACATCAAAGGAGATGAATTAATAATAATATTATCAATTAAGGTGACAGTAATCAATAATAGCAAAAAGGAAAAGAAAAATCTTCCAAACAACTGCTTTGCTATCAGTGATATTAAAAATCATGGAGAAAGCCGTAAACCACCATATGCTCAAATATTTGGAAGGCGTCAATATCTTGAGCGATCATCAATATGGCTTTCGGAAACAAAGATCAACCTTCTAATGGGACCTTCTATCGTATGTCACCCATTTTTGGAATAACGCAATCGAGGAACATGGAGAGTCAAGAGCTATTGCGCTTGATATTTCTAAAGCCTTTGACCGTGTGTGGCTTCAAAATGGACACGCTGGAATCGTAAAGACTGCTTCTCAAAAGCTTGAAATACTGTTCCGAACCAGAAAACTGTACATACTTCAGCAACTTTTGATGCTTCATAAAGCTCAGATCAGACCTTCTTTGGAGTATCATTCTGATTTATGGAGCTCCTCCCCCAAACTCAATATCCAGAAAAGAGCCATCCGCTTGATTGGAGACGCGAATATCACTTGCAACCTTGATAGTATCAAAACATCGAAGAAAGGTTGGAGATTTGTCTTTCACGGGAAGTGTTCCAAGTGACTTGGCACATTTAATTCTACTAAAAGCGATACATATCAGAAATACGCGACGGACTCTGACTGCTCATCGTTTTGGAGAACGGTGTTTATGTGGAATAAACGCCCTGAGAACATTTTTTTCAAATGGAGTTAATCTCCAGCAATTCAAATCCAATCTGAGACTACTGTTTAATCCTACAATCTGAGACTACTGATGTTTAATCCCAACATCAAACCGTTATTTTCAACACCTCGACACGTGTTTTGATTACCAAGTGATCATCTTCAAGAGGAAGATTAAACTTTTTAATCTTCCTCTTGAAGATGATTACTTAGTGATTGAAACACGTATCGAGGTGTTAAAAATAACGGTTTGGTGTTGGGAAAAAACTCCAGTAATATAAATTACTACACTGAAGTTTCCAAACAGTGCATCACAAATAATAGCAGTGCTCGACCAAATGTTGACGATGAATTAGTCATAGCACCTATTATGGAATATCTGCAGGAAGAAAAGGAATGTGATTCATCCTAGCAAAGTCAATGGTTCAGTAATATCTCAAAAGAAGGCGAAGATAAAGTATAAAACCTTTGACAGAGGTGAAAACAACTACTGTGTTAAAGCATACTATGAAACAAACATTTCCAAACCTTCTTATAAGGCCTTCTAGTACCGCTCTTAGCGTCTTGGAAAAAACGCAAAATCATCCATTGTCGTGGGGTACTGATATAGATACGTTGTCACTAAGACCTGGTTTAGAACTTCTACGTTAATATCGCCATAAAACATACATACAAATCAATATGTAATGTTCAACTTAACGTGATTTTTGGAATGAAAAAGAAATGAAAGAGTCTGGAGAATGTGGATAGTCTGAAATTAGGTGCCCATGTGACAGGAATTATACAAATTTCAAAATCGAAGCAAGATTGAGGATTCACTACTCTTCTATAAATACTTTTAGTGCTCAATTGATTTGGCTTGATGTGAATAGTCCCACGAGGCAAAATCTGTAGACAATTGCAAATTGTCCATTTTAGACCTGTTTTATGTTCCAGTCAGCTCATATGAGTATGTCATGGTGGATATGGATTGATTACTGTGGTCATCCCACACAGGCCAAAATGGATAGAACAAGCAAGGACCACACCGATATTTCAGGATATCAAAAAGATTAGAATAAAATAGTTCCGTTGTTGATATCTTCCACATTACTCGTAACGAAAATTTGAGATTTGGGAAAAAATATTTTTGAAATAACTTAATTGACAATGAGCACTGCTCAAAAATTATTGTGAAGAAAAGTATATGTCCATTAATAGTAACACTCCTTTAGAGTAGTAAAATGGACATGAAAAGAGCTGTACCATTTCGCGACGTGAAGATGATGCATCTTTATAAGACTATGATGCAGCCCAAATTGCCCAATTCACGGGTCTACTTTCCTTGAGAACAGATAAGTGGTGAACAAAGAGGCTATGAGTTCTCAACTTTAGAGTGTCTACATAACAAAACGGCATTGGATGGAGTGTGTGAAGTCAAGACGATGGCTAAAGAAATTTGTTAAGTGTATTGTACGATTTTCACTATAAAGTGTTCTACAAAAACCGCGATACGTGTTTCGCTATACGATAGCTTTCTCAAGCATATACTTGAAGACGTGGTTTTTGTAAAACCCTTTATAGTGAAAACCGTTGGATGAATATTGTATTAATTAGTTTAAATATGGATGTTCGTCAAGTATCGACCAGTTCTATTCAATTAGAGGTGCCAAGTTGGACTCCACCCACCAAAAGACCCATAGCATCAGAAATCAATGCATGAGATTTTATACAACAACTTCGATGACTACGGGTTATTGAAACTTTTAATTTTCGTTTTTCTCAGGTAGGGTAGGCTGAAGAGTTGCAAGGCGCTTGAGACCATTATCGGAATACCGCGGTCGTAGGGGCATTGCCACCTTTAGTACTCTTACGGAATTGACAAGACACAGGTTCTAGTTTTGTGTTAGGGAAATATTGAATCCATTGTAAAGAATGATTTATCAGGCTGAATGACCTCACAGGATCAAACGAGCTTATAAGTCTGATGTCGTCCCCCTCGATCAAAAGTAAGCAAATTTCGATATTATTTCATGGATATAGGAATTGAGGCTTTCACGGCTGGCGTCAAAGTTTTGGTTGGTTTCCGGGTTTTTCCGTGATCTTCTTTAATGGGCTCATTTAACAATTCTTTTTTATTTCATAATTTGAAAGTTTATGTTTCAAATAGTACATCAGAATTTTCACTCTTTATCTTCCTCCTCAAATTAATTGTTGAATGTGGCGTTCACCGAAACGGGGGCGTGGTCAAGCTTGACGTCACATCAGTCGACTCGGCGACAAGGGAGTGCTGGCGGATAAGCGGAATACGTGTGCTAAAGCCGTAGAAAGCAAGTTGTGTGTTGTTTACTGTAGTAGTGTGTCAACTGCGTGAATATGAATAGTGATAAAAAATTACGTTACGAGCAAGTGTTGCATCAGTCCTAAATGCAAGAATTCTTCTATAACTGCAGCAGTTTTGTTGCAAAGATCATTTTAATGTAAGTATGAATGATAATGATTAATAAAAACAATTATACTTTACTCTGAGCACTACTTTGAATTTTAGGTTGAAACAGACTTAGAAAATCACATGTATATCAAAACTATGAAAGTGGAAAAAAATATATTGAAACCAGGCGTGATTCCGCATATATTTGATTGCCAGATTGATAGACCGACGGCCCTTACATCCAAAGCTCCACCGTTTGTTCAAAAAAAGAAAAAACAAATTTTGTTGAATACTTGTAATGAAGATATCGCTGAAAATCAAATCATGTGTGATGAAGCAGGTACACAGGAAAAGACCTTTGATGTTGGAATTCAAGTTAATAAACAGGTTTTTCGAAGATCAAAAGCTAAACAGACCGTAAATATTATATACCACCGAAAAAGAAATCGTTCTAAAGAAATAAAAAATACAGAAGTATTGGAAAAAATCACTACCTACTAACTTCACCCGAGGTCAGTGAGAGTTTGAGTACATCAAATATGACTTCTGTTGATACATCATCATATTCTACTTTGTCTGGAATATTAGTTGAAAACTGGAATTCGAAAAACAATATTGAGCGAAGATCTACTTACGCCATAGAGAAAAATCCGAAATTATGTTTTGGAATCCCAAGGATTATAGAACTTTTGTCTCAAAAATGCCAGTTACCCAGAAATTACTTTGAAGAAAATCAAATTGAATTGACGATAGCAGCGATTCATAATCTCCAACTACAGGCCCGGTTGCCACCGTTCCAAGCTCGTTTGCCTGGTGTGACGTCAAGATGTACCGCGGGCGATCTCACATTTTCCATTGCTCTTGCTCAGTTGTTAATTGACATTTAAACCGGAAAATTTTGTGGGATACTTGGAAGATGATTTACTTTTATACTATATAATTTTCAATAAAAAACTAAATTAGCCTGAATGATCCCATTATAATTTCCAAACGTTTCAACTGCAACTGCATCTTCGGTGGCGTGGTCGAAGTACTCTTCTTGACGTATCAACTGAAACTGACACGCCATAATGAGTACTTCGACCACGTCACTGAAGATGACTGCTGCAGTTGCAGTTGAAACAGTTGGAGATTATAACCAAAGATCACGGCAAAACCCGGAAACCAACCAAAACATTTGTCATGAAGTCACCTTGCCAGAATAAGTCTGCCAGATTCAATCCTTGGTCTCCTCAATTTCGAACTTCACAATTGTATCAGCTTGTCGCACTATAACAGAAATCCTAACCTGAAAAATGCATAAAAATACACCTTCACTCATTGCGTCTAATGATGATTCATGATTTTCGGACCCAATCATTCCTTAAGTCACAATGTTATGAGTGACAGGACCGGCAGAGTCTCTTCGACGACAAAAATATAATAACAACTTTGAAATGAACAGTTTTCTTACCCATAATCGAGAAACCACTGATAGTCAGAGTTGTCCTGGATGAAGTCGATGTCTTGAGAGGAAGTGTTGCTGAGGTAACTGGCCGATCCATGGTGGTTGCTGTTGCAGTCCGAGTCCGGGCTACCCCGAACTATACCCACCTCGGTCATTCCTTTACCTGGAAAAAAAGGAAAATGCTTTGTAGATAGTGGTAATTATCAAACAAGTATACATATTTCCGAAATATGCAAACTGAGATGAGCACATTTCCGATCTTGATTCTAAATTCTAACACATTTCGGATGGTTTTTGTGGGTCTAATATTTACCAGAATGTGATAATATTATCCTCTACTTGTTTTCCAAAATTCAAATTGGTTGGATGAAAGGTATATGCTCATCTATGAACTTTTTCAGTCGATTATTCAAGCAGTTTCCAAATATTTTTCCTAAATTATTCAGGAATGATATATAATATAGACAATGGTTCGTTAATTAATTTTTATCCCGGATATGTGAACAGAGCTTGGTATTTGAGAGGTCTCAATTATTTTCTTTATTATGCAATCAATTTTCAATTCACTGAAAAGGACTTCTATTTTTTTTATCAAATGGACTTGAGAACACTTCAAATTCAGAAATAACTAACGAACAACTATGTATAGTTCAAGTAAAAGATATAGTGCCCCCTACCTTCCAGCAGTTCTCCTTTAATAACACACACAACGCGGTACTCATCGCTACATTCTGTTGGTCACCGTAACATGACTTCAAATTTAATTTTATGACTCTTAAGCCAATCATAAAACTCGGTTAGTAAAAATTATCCAATACGAACCGCCAATTCTTCAGTCCACGTGGACTAATTCCTACCGGCATTAGTTCTTTGTGTTGGTTTTTTTGGTCTTTGACTTCGCCGACACCTTTAAGATTACTATATCGGTTACTTCGACTATACCTGCATAACAATTTTCTTAGACAATGATAAAAAGTCACTGAAGATTTCTGCTGTGATATTTTTTATTATTTGTTCTTTATATTATATTGTTTCATTACTTCGTTAATAAGACCCCATGTTTTCTGCTATATTCAATGTAAAAAGTACCTATAGTAATGAATACCTATTGTATATACGTAGTTAATTCGAATGGTATAAAAACTAAATAGTTACCGAACGTCGGCAGTTTCTTTGTGTGCCATGGGCGGCGTGGTATACTTTTTTATAATTGATTTTATTTCTCATAAACCTACACGGATAATTTATTAGTAGGTAGTAAAGAGTACATTATATGGTATATTAGTATTTTATTCAGCTATTCTGATTGACTTTATACGAAGTTTTGTTCTGAGTTTTATAAGGTTTGTAAGGCTATTTTTGTAGTTATTGTATTCTTGTTTGAGGTCATTAATAGGTTTGTCTTTTGATACTCTTTGTTTGAATTTGTTCCTTATTCTTATTTACATAAGTATGACAGCGGTCATCAACACGGTTTCATTTAATTTGTTCGATTTGATGAAGTTTATACTCTGGTTGAATTTTCACTGAAGTCATTGATTTTAAGTCATACTGGACCGAGAGCTACTGGTACCTTATCACATTCAAAATTATCAGACCAACAGAATGAATACTTCGATGACACATTGAATTTTTTTTTGTTTAGTTTTTTTACTCTTATTGTTCGTGGATCATTTGTTCATTTTGTTTGTTTGTGATACGTTCTATTTTGAGTAATAACGAATAGTGAAAAAAGACTATTTTTTATTAACATCGGTATTATATTCAGTTCAAAAATAAGTTTGTTTTCTCATATAATTTCTCTAGTTGAAAAGTTATTTTTTGGCAGAAAACATTTCTACCAGCATTTTCACGTAAGTTAGTGATATCCTCTTTTTTCTTGGAGTTTTCCAATCGGAGTCGCCAATTCACAAAGCAATATTACTCCCAGTAGGAATGGTTTTTATATACCTATCTGAATAAATAATAAATATGTTTGTGCTTGTACTTCTGAGACATATTTGAAAATATGTTTTTCCCGTTAACCAGCTATCGCACCCCAACGAACGACAACCTTCAGAAGTCGAAACTTGTGCGAGCTAAGGACTAACGAGGTCTTACCTTTTAACGTGTGATTCGTAACACGGGTTGAACGAAATCAAGTGAAAATCGAGCATTCAGCCTGTGGCTTGAACCATCGACTCACACATCGGCCGATTGACTGAGTGAACAAAGCACCCACGTCGAACCGCCCGGCTACCGACCAACATTTTACTAGCACGACACTAGTTAGCGCGTTGGGATCTTTCTGTTGTTTTTTTCACACTGCTGTAAAATTTGGTTCCCAAAAAGTGAGTTCGGTGATGTTAAGATCAATTTTGCATTGTAACATTCAAATGTCAGTGTATTGCCACTACATTTTATTATGCTTCGCCTACTATTTGCAGATGACCTGAAACTATATCATGAAATTGACGACATTACTGACTGCCAACGTGTACAACATGAATTAGATGTAATCAAACTTTGGTGTAATAATAATCGTCTACAACTGATGTAAAATAATATCATTTACAATAAAAAAGCGATTATTCAATCAACAAAACTACAATCAACCGAGTACATGAGATAAAAGATCTTGGTATAACATAAGACAGTAAATTAACATTCACAACACATATGAGGAATATGACCGCTGATGCAAATAGGATGCTTGCATTCATTTACAGAAATGGCAAAAACTTCAAAAGTATTGCCATCTTAAAATTGCTATATTTTGCATATGCCAGATCTAAGTTAGAGTATGGCTCTGTGTTATGGAATCCAATTTACGACTACCAAAAAACATCAATTGAGAGCGTGCAAAGGAAGTTGCTAAAATACTTATGTCAATACCCCACGAGAGGCATCGATCATATCATTTTGTTGACACGATTTGACATGACATCTTTGAAAAATAGGAGAGTTATCCTTGGTATAAAATTCCTGCATAAATTACTAAACAACAATATTGATAGTACGGTTCTTTTACTCGAGATCAATTTCTTAGTACCAAGAAGTGAAGGTCGACACAATCTGAAATTCTATTGCGAAGCATCACGTACAAAGGTTATACTACGATCACCATTGAATTTTATGTGCAGTAGCTTCAATAAAATCTGTGAACACTGCGATATTCATTTCGACTCTCTGAACGCCTTGGTATCTTGTATCCACAATCACTTTTAATAATACCATAAATAACATTTGTGTCAGTACTGCTACATTGCATGTTTTGTAACTTTACGTGTATATATTCAATTTTTCATTCTTTTTTTGAAATTCTACTTATACGAATATTTTATATATACTTTGTTTAAGCATTTACTTTTATACATTTCTATATTCCATTATTTTTATATTTATTTTATATATACTTTGTAATAATAGCATTTCCTGTAACTGGGTACTCACTCCTGTTGGAAATAAATCGCTTTTTTATGATTATATAATATACTATATAGTTAGGTACTTGACCATATTTTTTTTAATTATTGCACCTTTGTTATTATTATATATATTCACTTCTTCTAAGTTGAAGCATAGTTCATCCAAATGGGCATTACCACATTATATCATATTATAATGAAAAATTGTAAAAATTATTGCTGTTGTTGTAAATTTGTGGCTGTAATTTTCAACTATATAAATCAAGAATGAACTTCAATCATCATCCAACTATCTTCCAAGTCAGTAAAGCTCAAATACTGACGAAGAAAACTTGGTTAGAGAAACCCGCGTCGATAAGAGTGTTGCGTTTCTTTTTTGTGGAAATAGTAATGGTTTAGATAATTTCTACTGCAGAGGTTTTAATTTCACCTTTAATTTCAGTTATCTTCTTGCTCCCAATTAGCCTGAGCCATAGTAAAGTCACTGCAGTTGAACATTTTTAGTTTGAATGTATGAGTGTTTACAGAAAAGCACAATAATTTCTTAAAGAAGAAAGAGAGAGAGAGAGAGAGATTAATGTTTTAGTGTGACAGAAAATTTCCTCAAAAGTGATTCTTTAAAATTGTGATTGAAATTTTCTGGCCGGTATCACGTTCACTCTGTATACGAAATAATAATTTTTCTTATCTCTGACAACACATTTCTAATAGAAATTTGTGGGACCATCTTTAGGGAGTAGCCACTCTAACAACCCACCCAGATGGTAGAGCTTTATAATCGGTGATGCTATAAATATACAATATATCATCCGGATAATTGATTCATCGACTGGACAATAAATTGGCAATAATAACACAATTTGTTCAACAACTCTTGACATCTATAAATCTGTATTGACAGCTGCTTTACCAGTAACGGCAAGATATTTTTTTATTTACTAATTTAAAGACAGTAGCGTCGTGAAGGAAAAAACTATTGTGTTGTCTAGAGGAATTTATAATTTCAAGTGAATATATTTTATTTTGTGTATTGAAATAGACTTCACAGATACATTATGAAAAAATAAAAATTTTAATAAAGAATTTTATGCAGATGTGCTGAAAAGTCTCGAGTCTAACACACAGATGGCACTAGTTTTATTGCATTTACCGCTTCCTCAGTTTAGGTATGTTTTCCTAACGACGTGTTTTTCGCGTAGCAGGAACCGGATTCGTTCCAATCGCGTCGGCAGGGGCGCAAAACTCATCACGTGGCGTTTTAATGTTTTCCAAAGCGAAGCGTGTTTCTCTGTTCAGTTGACGTACTGACGGACAACGGACAGTGTATCGATGTGTCATTATAAAACGAATCCAAAGAAGAAAAAAAAACAGATTGCAATGATTATTCTTGAACAAATGAGAAATGATGAAGAGGAGGGGCATATTTTCTGGAAACACGCAAAATTTGAAAAAGAAATAAGAGAATTTTATAAAAATCGGAAAAATCATTTTGCTTTGGAGCACTTTTATCAATCACTTCTGGCTGATGGCTGTTGATTTTTTTGGTGCGGGTAAAACGTTCGTGGAACTCTCCCGTTCATCTTCTACTTCATCCAAAAATTACGAAAGTTCCCATTAAATTGTCTTATTTTTTTATTGAAACTTCCTATGGAGCCTTTTTCTTATTTTTTCCCCTTCTGTGAGGGTCTCTGACACTTCTCCTCCGTGTCTTGCCCTTACCGCCTGTAACACACAGAACAAGACTCCGAAGACTCCG